TCAAGAAGAATCAAGGGGTTAAGAAAAGTGAGAGGGAATCCTGACCATGGGACATCTCAAGTAAAGATGAGAAGGTGAGACAGGCAATGAACATGTGGAGAAGTCTAGACGGACCTTCTGGCCGCAGGCAAGGTATATGTAGTAGTGTTCGTAGCGGTTGGAAAATGAGTTGAGCGCATCCTGTGGAGTACTTATAGTTCTAGACTAAGGAACTGAGCCTTAATTGTCTGGATAGAGGGGAGCCACAGAAAGCTGGGGGCAAAAGGGGTGACAATACTGAAGAAATATTCCAGGAAGTCTCCTATGGTTCTCCACGCTCCGATGCAAAGGCAGACGTTTGAGGAGAGTGGACACTTTGAGGTGGAGACTTATCTGAAAAGGGAAATGAGCACCAGTGACACTGCTTTTCACAGCCACAGCTCCAGAACAAGCCCCGGCCCCACCCCGGCCATACCAGGGTGTCCGGGTGAAGGAGCCAGTGAAGGAACTGCTGAGGAGGAAACGTGGCCATGCCAGCAGCGGGGCGACGGTTGCACCTACTGCGGTGAGGGGGTCCTCTGTGGCCAGTGTGTGTGTGTGTGGTGGGGGGCAGTGTCAGGCAGGAGTATACTTCTTTGTCCCCTGGGATACGAAGGCAAAAGGTTGCTGTGGTTATGGCTGCTGCAGAATAGACCTATGGTAGAACAGGCTGGTGGTTCCTTGAAGTAGGACAAGGACTATGAGCTGCGGTTCCCTCTGGGGAGAGGACCATGCCAGTTCCCCAAGTGCACAGCTTTCTTGCTAAATGAAAACAGGAATCCCTCATAAGTGTAGGTGGTGTTGGTTGGGAAGAGGGTGGGTATTTTCTTCTAATGAAGCAGATTCTCCCCCTATTCTCTCCTGCACTGGGGCCCTCTGGGTAAGTTTCCTGCAGACAGTGAGTTGGAGATGGCGGAACGCTAACCTTGATCTTCTCTTCTCCCCTCTAGGTGGTGCTGCCCCATCAGCCCTTGGCCACCTACACCACAGTGGGTAAGAGCTCCCCACAGCCCTGGCCTCGTCCAGGCCCCTCATCCAGGTGGCATCTCAAGCTCTATACTTTCCTTCTTTCCTCAGGTCCTTCCTGCCTTGACATGGAAGTCTCTGCCTCCACAGTGACAGAGGAGGGGGCCCTGTGTGCTGGTTGGCTCTCTCAGCCTGCCCCTGCCACCCTCCAGCCCCTGGCCCCGTGGACGCCCTATACTGAGTATGTGTCACATGAAGCTGTCAGCTGCCCTTACTCAACTGATATGTATGTGCAGCCAGTGTGCCCCAGCTACACAGTTGTGGGGCCTTCCTCCGTGCTGACCTACGCCTCCCAGCCGCTCATCACGAACGTTACGGTATGTCACACAAAGGCAGAGCTGCACCAACCCATGCCTAGGGCACTCTTTTAGAACCAGGACTGGTTTCCTGACCCCTGATCTTCCTTACTTCCTTCTCAGAATAAGTTCATCTGAGCCCACCCCATCCTCCCAGAAGGCCTGCTCTTATTCCCATTGACTTAAAATATCGTCCACCTAGAGCCAGGACTGGTTTCCTGACCCCTGATCTTCCTTGCTTCCTTCCCGGAATAACAAGTTCATCTGAGCCCACCCCATCCTCCCAGAAGGTCTGCTCTTATTCCCATTGACTTAAAATATCGTCCACAAAGAGGGCTTATGGCTTCCCTTGTCACGCCTAATGCTTCTCCGGGTTGGGACGTTCTCCTGCTTCTCTGTCCTAAAACATCCCTGCTGCCCTGTAAGAAGTGAGTCTTGGTTAAGAGTCTACGTTTTTAGCGAATGGGGTAAGCCATGAGATATGCATAGGGTCTCCTGCCAGACCCAGCCTTTCCTTTCTATTCAGATAATTTAGAGATGATTATTCACTTAACAATGGGATTTACCAGAGATTTCTAGGCTGAGCAACAGGTGCTATGTCTTTTTAGAAAATTGTACTTTCGATGGAGTCAGACCCAGCTGCAGAGTAATTTTTTGAGCACTGTCAAATTGCCTGGGTTCAAATCCCTGCCCCTTTACTTACTAGCTGTGTGACCGTAGGCTGAGTGACTTAATTTTCCTGAGCCTCAGTGTCCTCATCTGTAAAATGGGAATATAACAAGAGAATTGGTATCAGGATCAATGGGACTCAGCATAGCTCCTGGTCTTAGCATAGTTCTTGGCATCAGAAAACTCTCAATAAATGCTAGTTACTATGACTGTCTTGAAGTCGGCCAACAACATTAACCAAGGGCTGCCTTCAAGTGCCAGACAGGGAAGGGAAGGCCTGCTCCCCTAAGAATGGAGGAAGGAAGATAAATAGTTTTATGAACCTGTTTGACTATAGGAATGACAATCTCTGGAGCGTTCAGAGGAGAAAAGGCTCATGGTTACAGCTGTGTCCAGTTTCAGTCTAAGGAAAACTAGAAGGTGGAGCTGGGGCCTCATGAGTAGTCTCAGAGCCCACCCTTGGTGGTGGACCTTGCTTTGGTTCCTCAAGTCCCCTGGGTTTCCCTCGAGGGTCCAGTGTCATCCTGATGCAGCCGCTCTTCACGCATCATCCAGGCATGGCCTGCAGGAGCCCTCCTACCTCATGCCCACCTGGCCACCCTGTGCACCAGTTGTGGGGTTTGAGTGATGGTGGGTAGGAGGGAGGTCATTCAACACTTTACTTAGGCAACTAACTCATTTCCATATCAGGGGGCCTGGAAAAGGGAAGAGGGGGTGGTGGCGGACTCAGTGGGTCCCAACCATTTCATCACCGAGTATTCCTTTCATTAGTTATCCTTTTATCATTTCCAACTCCTGCTTTGAAAGTTTCTGTGTATCGAACAAACTATATTTATTAAGAAATAATTTATTTGTTTTGCCATTTTGTAAATTGACTCATCAGAGCTGTTTAGAGCTACATAATTGGCACTCCTGATCAGCAGGAGATAAGACCTGTTGTGGCGATGTAAGTCTATCCCTGAGCAAAGAATTCTGAGGTTCCAGTTGACCTGCACAGATTTATGACTTGAAAATGAAGGGTTTCTATTTGGATTTTTGAAATACTGGAAATAATAAAGCCTCGTTGGGAGGACAGAAGGCTTCTGAGATCCTTTCTAGCTCCATCATTCTATAGGAAGTCATCCTCAAGCCTTGCTACTAAAATGTGGTCCCTAGACCAGCCACATTGGCATCACCTGAGATCTGATTAGGCATGCAGAATCCAGACCCCACTTCTGACCTTCTGTACTGGAACCTTTGTTGTAACAAGATCCCTGGGACATTGAAATAAACTCCCTTAAATGACTGTAATAGTATACTCTCAAAACATGGTGGCAACTGGGGAGAAATGGGACGGTGAAGCAGGGGTAGTAGAAGGAGACTTTGACCCCTCTCACATCATTCCACGCAGAGACCTTCCTCTTCTGCCTGCTTCTTCAATGGCAGGAGATGGTAAAAATCCAGGCCCTGTCTCTCTTGCAGGCTTGACCTGGGGTTTGTAGGGTGGTCATTGTGCAAGAGGGAGATATTGTTCGTAGAACATCTGCGAGCATGACCCTGACCTTTGGAGGTCCTGCAATAGCCACAGGGGCCCAGATCAGAGATAGAGGAGGTTGAGGTCATGAAAGGTGAGTGGAGCTGTGTTCGCCCAAGGGTAGCTCAGAGTAACAAAGCTGCTTTGTGGAGCCAGGACTATGGCCACCTTTGTGACACAGCTACTATGCTATGTGACAGGCTTATTGTTTAACATGCAGTATTTTCACTGATTTTAAAATGTATATCCCCACCCCCAACACTTTAATATCTCTGAAATTGGGATGCATTTTATAGTCGATGAAATCTGGAAAAGCATCTATAATTTTGCTCAGCCCTATGATGTCAGTCCTTTTTGTAACCTATTTTACAGGTGAGAAAATAGGCTTCAGTTGGGGAAGTAGCATGAGCAAGGACATACAGCTAGTGAGTGACAGAGTCAGGGATACAGAAGTGTGTCAGGCTCTCCCTTAGAGGAGACTTTGAGTAGGTAGAGGTGGAGCCCCCTGGAGTGAGACAGTAGGAAAGGGCCTACCTGAGAGGAAATAGAGATCCCCTCGAGGACAAGGGTGGGCAATGAATACTCTAGGGCTGCTAACCCTCAGTCCTGTGTCTCCCTTATCACAGACGAGAAGCGCCACCACGCCCACAATGGGACCTCAGCTGGAGGGCCCAGAGCACCAGACACCCCTCACCTACTTCCCGTGGCCTCAGCCCCTATCCACGTTGCCCACCTCTACCTTGCAGTACCAGCCTCCAGCCCCAGCCCTGCCAGGGCCGCAGTTTGTCCAGCTCCCCATCTCTATCCCCGAGCCAGTCCTTCAAGACATGGAAGACCCCAGGAGGGCCATCAGTTCCCTGACCATCGACAAGCTGCTTTTGGAAGAAGAGGATAGTGATGCCTACGCACTCAACCACACGCTCTCCGTGGAAGGCTTTTAGGGCCGGCGCTCACCTGAGAATTCTGTTCTCTGAAACTGGGATTAAACCTCAGATTTGTATTTGTATGGAGTAGCCATTTCATAACTACAATTTTTATCTAAAATTAGAATTGTAGACCGACATCATCCATCCTTCCTTCCTTCCTTCCTTCCTTCCTTCCTTCCTTCCTTCCTTCCTTCCTTCCTTCCTTCCTTCCCTTCCCTTCCCTTCCCTTCCCTTCCCTTCCCTTCCCTTCCCTGTTTCAGGCATTGCGTTGCGAACAAGGCTGGCTTCCCTTCCCTTCCCTTCCCTTCCTTCTATACTCCCTCTCACCATCCCTCTGTTCCTCAATTCCTCCCTCCCTCCTTCTTTGTTTCTCTCCCTCGCTTTATCTTTTCCTCTCCCTTTCTCATTTCCCTCCATTTCTGTTCCTTTTTGGGAGGGAATTATAGGACTTTTAGAGTTAAAGTTTGATGTTAAGTGTTGCATATTCGTGGCCCAAGTGCTTTCATTTGTGCCACATTTTATTCCTGGAGAAGGCCCCTCCTCTGGAGTGCCCAATACTTCATTGGAGCAGTGGCCTTGATGCGCTATTTTATTTGGGTATCATTTTGAGACGTATGGGGTGCCCTGTGGGAAGACTGAATCTGTCAGCACCTTCAAAGGCAGACCCAATGACAAAGTTCTTGAGCTGTCAGTTCTCACAGTTGCTCTTTTATTTGCTTTCCTCAGCACTGGCCAGATTTACAGTCTAGGCATCAGACTCAAGGCCTGGGGCTCATCAGGGTAGTGGGTAGGGGTGGAGAAGAAGAAGGAAAATCAGAGTGGGTTGGGGCATTGTCAGAGGTATAGAGGAGGGATGCGTACATGGTGTGTGTATATGGGGTGTGCATATATGGTGGGAGGGGGAATGTAGGGAGAGGGAAAGTTTAGTTTTATGGGAGCGCATGAGAGCTGAAGAATGGTTTAGCTCTACATTACTTGGTTATTAAGGAAGATAAATTTAAGAAAAGTACTGGTTCTGCTTAAAAAATAGGTGGTTTTTCTAATCTCCTTGAGAATATTTGCAAGGAAGCTGAGCTTTTATAAACAGAATGAGTGATATGTCTGTCCACTTTCTTCCCACATCCAGACCCTCTGTGGTGCTGTGTGTAGGACAAGACCCACTGAAGCTCAATGGTGACTGGATCCTTGCTTACTGCTGTCACATGTGTTTCCTTAGTGTCTTAGAAGCCTCCATGAGCCACCATTCTGTGGAGCCAAGGCCTCCTCCCCAAGCACCATCCTTCCTGGTGCTTCTAGGGCCTCAGCCAGAAGTACCATTAGGTTTCATATCAAATTTTTTTTTTTCCTGAAGAAACATCAAATATGCAGGAGCTTGGGCACAGTTATCATTGGCGCGCTTAGCTCATGACAGTGGCTGTGTGCTCTGGGAACTGGCACGTCCATCTGCTAATGACATCATTGTCACGATTAGGCAGACACATTAGTTGGTGAAATCCACGTAGAAGTAATAGACTTTTCTGGAAAATGACGGCTCCTTAGACACATTTTTTTTTTTTTTTTGGTCATTTGAAATAAAAACTCTGGCGAAAGTTGCTTTTTTTAAAAAAAATTTCTGCTTTGGTTTTATTTTGACCCAAATTTGTTGGTATCTACCTAAAATCCCAATACAAATATCAAGTTATTTTTATTCAGACTTAATTTTTAGATTTAAAAGCTTAAGACAGCATTTTAGATGACTAATTTCCATCTTTGTTGCTCAGACTTTTCTGTGCTAAGTAGCCAAGGGAGAGAGGGGGGGTGATTCAGGCCTGTTTGATTAAAAGTCATGGTTTTTTATAAAAAACACTATGCAAGATTTTTCAGCTTGTTGTTTGAGGATTTGAGAGAAGCAATCTAGATAAAGGAGTATAAAATAGGCAAAAACTAACAAAGAAATAAAGTACTTTACTTATTTGCTAAAATTTAAATGTTGTCTTTTTTTTCTTGTTATCTTGAGGTAAAATATCTTGGTTGTAGTAGTTCCTCTAGGTTCCTTCTTGTTTTTTTCTGCTAAGATAAAAACATTTTCAATAAAGACTTGCTCAGACTTTTCTGTGCTGAAGTGTTTTTTTCTTATCAAATTAATCCCCTTTAGTTTGTAGTTCTGTGTCAGGCAGTGTCATTATAGTAATAAGCTTACATTAGTCTTGTTGATTTTGCAATTCGATCTGCTGCAAGGAGAAGATAAAAACAGCCCTGCTGTGCCTGCAGCCCAGTTCTCCTAAGCAGCACGAGGCCAGTAGGCTGGTCTCCAGGAGAGCAGGGATCTGAGGAGAGGAAAGAAAGCTTTTTAACCTTATTGCTTTTCCTATTAGTCATGTTGCATGAGTAACTTCTTATGATCCTGCATGTCCAGGGTTAAGTTCAACCATTGGCCTTTCCATAGCAGGCTCTTAAAGTCCATCATTCAGAACCAAGAACATGTAGCATGATACAGAATGCTATGCCCCAAGGAAGCCACCTCTCCCAGCCAGGCATCACAATGAAATGGAAATTCAAGAAGCCAGGCTCCTCTAACACCTCTCCTTGG